TTGGCTAAAATATTATTCACAATTCGCTAAAGCAAGCCGTTTAACAACACTATAAAATTAGAGAAATTGAATTTTATTTTACTTTCTTGTATGTTTGTATATTTTACTTTCTAAAATTGATATAAAAACAAGATAAACAACGTATTCCTATGATTTTATTAGCATACTAATATAATTTTACCTACAAGATGAAGGCAAAAAACAGAAAATTTTGAAAAATGATTCCACGAAAAAATCTTTTTATTTATTAATGAATTTATTTAATACAATAATAAAAAGCTGCCAACAATTTTTTTATTTAAATTATTAAGAAAATTTCTCTCGAACCCCCAACTTTTATATGAGGTTCGGGTTCACATTTCTGAAAAATAGCCTTATTTCGTGTTTTTTTTAATAAAGCTTTGCAAGTTTTCAAATTAAATGTTTTGATGTTTTGGAGTAAGCCTAACTTACATAAGCTAAACATAAATCTTGTCCAACTGGAATTTATATTTTAGAATCGAAACAAGAAAACGTTTTGGAATACCTAATTTCTTATAAGAAAAGATAGTAAAATATTCTGATTACAATTTTGAAATAAAATCTAAGGCTGTGTCCTGGTTCGATTCATTTCCAAACAGCCGGTAGCTTTAGCTAAACAGCCTAAAAAGTAAGAGAAAAATATAAACGAATAAAAACACAAAATAATTTAATAAAAAAACACAAAATAATTTAATAAAAAACCTTTTATTAAAATCTGGAATTTTACCAATATTTGAGGGTAAATGTTATCTGTTCATTTTAAGGTAATAATTGATAAATTTACTGCTCAAATTTTCAAATTTCCCTTTGAAACAATTTACAAATTACTTACAGCCAAAATTATTTAATAAAATAACAGAATTTTAAAACTCCGTCCGGCTGTAAAATGATCAAAAAAATCTAGGTCGGGCTTAAAAATGCCAAGTTTTTTAAAAATTCAGGCCGGGTTTGAAAATGGAAAATATTTAAAAAGCGCCCCTGTAGGCCTCTGATGTATATAAATATAATATATAAACTCCAGCAATTGATAAAAAAATATGTCAGATAAAAAGTACAACCTTAAAAATAAAAATTACTGAAAAACATGAAAATTATATTTAAAAAGTAAGCACTATGCGTAATTGTTTTGTAAAAAAAAATTGTACGAATTTTTTAACGGACGAGAAGGACAAAATTTTTTAAACTTATTATTAATAAAAAAATAATATTCATTTCAGTCCAAATAGAGTAAAAAAAGTCATCTAGCATTTAGATTTGTATAGTTTGGGTCATGATATGAGCAAAATAAAAAAAATCAGCCAAAAACTACATCGACTTTTACGAATATCACCCATCAGTGTATGTCCAATACTTAACTTTTATGATCTCAAAAGCAAAATTAGTTTAGAGCATTCCGATCATATATTAAATAATAAAAATTTTATAAAAATGATTTATTCATAGAATTTTACATTCTAATTTTTAAAATACTTTTTCTTTTAAAGCAATATCAAAAATTTGACATAGATTGTAGTCACAACATGAAAATTCAAAAAAAAAATCGCATAATTATATATTTGAAAAATGTACTGAGTAATAAAATATAATGTAATAAAGTAGGATTTAATTAATTTGTATTATATAGATGATATGTATAAAAAAATATTCCTTTTAATGGTCAACTATTCTTGAAGAGATTATAATTTTAAAAGGCTGAAAAATTATAGTAAAAATAAATCTTAGATATGCAAGAAAAGCGAGGGAAATGGATTATATATGAACTGACAACGCTTGAGGAAATTTCATGGTAAAGGCCGGGCAAAGTGAATGTGTTTGAATACGATGTGATAACGAATGATAAGAATTAGACTGATATTATAAAGATGGCAAATATGAATTGAGATGTTGGGTGAAAGCGATCTATTTAACATCACAGTAGAATCCCGGACAGAAATGTCTTGGTTAAAAAAAACCCCCAAACAAAAAAATATATACCAAATTTTAGAGAAAAAACTTAAATGCACATAAAATGGCTAAAATTACTCCCTTTCTTTTGTTCAGAATATTTCTGATCGAGATTCATCACAGTAAAAATGCTCAAAGTTTATAAAGACTAATTTGGAGAAGACTTTTCTAGAAGATTGGCATCGGCTAAAATGAGGTTTATTTACAGGGTTGTGATGGCTAAATTTGCCATTACTTGAAATTAATAATTATATCAGACATAAAGAGAAGATTTGATATAACCTGACAAAATTCTTAATGTTATAAAATTATAAAAAAACTACAAAAATAATATGGAAGATAAACTAATCAGGTTCCTTATATCTCGTCCTAGATCGACTAAATTAGTCACAAATTTTGTGAACTAATTTATTCGTATGTCCAAGCATTTAAAACGTAATTCTCGTATGTGTTTATTTAAAAATTACACGAATAACATATTATTCCGAGGAATCTCTGACATCAATGTCCTGGACAAAAATACCTTCGGACAAAAAATACACCAATTATAAAATTTAAAATGTTTGAAAAAAGATATTTAAATTTTTTTATTAAATTATTCAAAACAGCATTAAGTATCTGTTAGATTTTACCGAATAATGGGTTTCGTGTCTAAAAAATTAGTATTTATTACCCTCAACTAATATAAACACTAACCCTTATTTTTGTTCCTAAACTATAATAGATAAAAACAAAGAAACTTATCCGCTGCTTCAAGCTGGTTAGTAGCCTTAAGTATCTTATAAATCTTACCGAATGTAGTGGTTTTAGTTTCTAATAAAATTAGTTTTTTTCCTCATCTAATATAAATACTAACACTTATCAATGTTGCATAGACCTAAGATAACCTCTAAAGCGATCTACGAGTTATTAGGCTAGGTCGATAAAAACTAAAAGAAATTTATTGGCTGCTTCTCGCTGCTCGGCACCAAGTCTCTTTAAAGTTTACAGAATATAGCGGGTTTAGTGTCTATTAAGTATTTATAAAAATCTACTTTTATGCTTATTTAACCCTAGCCCACATCAAGCCTTGCCATGAACCGCTTATCAAAGCCAACATTTAAACATTTCTTCCTCAGTACCGTATATGTACATGGTTTTATATAAAAATTTGAGTAAAAATGCACAGTGGCTGCACATCATTAGTTAAATAGTTTTTCAGTGATAAATAATTTTTTAAACTTTACCCTTTTTCTTAACATTTAAAAAATAATTAAAATTTGGATATTTTTGTCGTGTCTTTTTGTCCGAGGGTATTTATATCCAGTTCTAACCGATTACTGATTCCGAAATTTATTTCACAAAAATTATTTACTAATTTTAATATTTACTAATTTTAATATGAAATTTGAACACTAACGCTTAATAACATGAAATTGGTATGCTAAATTAGTATATAATTTAGTCGAGCTAGTAAAAGGTATTAAGAAATTATACTACTATCAACTAGGAACCTGAAAAAGTGATTTGCTTAAAACCAAAAACAAGTCTAAAGATTGTTCCTGAAAAGAACCAAAAGCAAAAAACTAAATGTTTTGTTAATTTTTTTTATAAATTAGAGCTTATTCTTTAAATTTTTTATAAAACCAAAATGGAATCAGATGAAAAAGTCCCTTTTTAAGGTTTTTGACCAATACATTGTTCACAATTCATAATTAAAATAGTAGCTAACTTTGTAATTTTTAATTAATGATTGAGGCAATTAAGTAAATTTTTACGGTCACCGATTCAAACAGCTTTATAATAAGTAAAGGAAATTATATAATAAATATTAGTCAATATATAAAATAAATATAATATATTTATGATTTAGAAAAAACTGGACTAATTTTTAACTATCACAAATCGCAAATATAATTGACTAGAAATGTTAACTTAAAAAATTATTGGTTTTTTATCAAAAAAAATTATTTAAGTTGAAAGTGGCTAAATACCACATTACGTTCATATAAATTAGTAAAAATGAGATATAAATAATAAAAATTACATAGTATCAACATTTAAATTTTCGTAAAACTTGTGAATAATTATTTAATATAGAAAATGATATTTATACGAATTTTTTTGAAACAAGTCCTGTTTCATCTATTAAAAAATATTAAGAGCCAGTCTACAGGTAATGCCATATAAAAATTGATAATTTTAATTGGTTTCCGACCAAATTCGGAGAAATTTTGGTCGATGAATATTTCAGAGTAAATGCCAATTTTAAAATTTTCGAACTGATTTAACTTAAGTATATTATTTATTATATTTCTACGGTATAAAAATTATGATTAACAATTTTTCCAGTTTGATTCGAATTCCTAGCAACCAATATATAATCTTTTTATCAGTTTTTGATCGTAGAGTATTTTAAAGTTTCGAAAATTTTAAAACAATGTATATTTCAAATTTTTATACTTTAGAGTAATGTGTGGAAACATTAATTTGAAATCAAAACTTTATCGAAAAATAAACTTTTTTTAATAGAAAATTAAAATATGACCAAAATATATTTGTGAAACTTTTAAAACTATTGCGTCTAAATATAAAAAATGTTTACAAATTTTCAAATAAAATGCACTCTTATTTTATTTGATTGTTTTACTTTAAATTATTATATTAAAAAATAAGGAGGGAAAAAATGAGTTGAACTGATTTTATGATTATAAATAAATATCTTTCGCTCAAATTAAAAATGTTTAGCAAAATTGAGCTATAAGATTTTCAAATTATGGCAAAGCTCAAAAAAGTTGAAACTTTTTTATTATGTACTTCCTTTATAACTTACAATTTAAATAAATTATTTGGAGCTGGGCCTAACCTAAAAATCGGATAAATTAGGCTTAGCTGATTTGTTAACCTAAAGGTACGGCTAAGCCGGTTTAGAGTGGGTGAAAATTTTCTGATTACGCAACACTAGATAGAAGTAAATAATAATAGACGTGAAAAGTTTTTTTGTCAAGATCATCACATATCATAGTAAAAAAGCAAAAAAAATAAAAATCAGCTACCTCATATTCATGTTTCTTGCTATCGTTGTTTAAATCAGAATTATAGGTATTAATTAGTTTAGGAACATAATCGCCTACTCCTGAGTCGATCAAACTAGAAGTGGTCACGTGATTACACATCATTTCATCCTCCGTTTTATTAATTGTCTGCTTTGGTAGATGGGAGATATCGAGTGGAATCGAACGTTTTTTAAAGACTGTCCGGTGCGATTTATCACGATTTTTGGGAGGGGAAGGAGATGAGGAAGACATTCTTGGAGTAAGAGAATTATATTATTCTTGATGGTTATCAATGTTGCATATAAGGGTGTATAACTTTAAAATGATGATTGTTTGACCGTTGGGCGATGTCTTATCCGGTGCTTTTACTTCACATTTATTGATGCTAATTTTGCATGTAATTACGATTCCGATTTCAGCATAAAAGTCAAGATTAAGTGTAAACTCTAAAATATATTTCTTTTTTAAAAAAAATAAATAAAACAATATATTTGTCCTTGTGTGAATCTTAGTGCGACATCGTTCTCCATTGCCATATATTCTTTTCATATCGCATTGCTATGTAATACATTCCGCTTATCAGAGTTTGAAAAATATCGAAAATCTTTTTAAGTAAATATTTTGTTATTTTCAGGCATATAACTCAAAAAGTTTTTGAAGATATTTTTCACACTTTGCCGCTATCTAAAAATGAGCAAGGCCTTACTGATAATTTATAATTAGCGTGAATTCGCTGCGAAGAATATAAAAAGCCCGCGAATTCGCGCTAACTTTGAATGCAGTGCTAAAAAATTAATTTTAATTTAGGCATGCTCAAAAAGACTTGTGGAAAGAAATAGAAAATATTTAGCCCCTCGTAGCGACACCAATGTTTACGAAATTGTAGTAAAATATTATGCGAAAATAGGATAAATTTTTTAAAAATTATACAAGTGCTGAACTTGCTATTAAATTAACAAATCACTACAATTAAAACTTTTGGAATTTAATGATAATAAAAAATGTTAAATTACGTGAAAATATTATAAAGTTATCTTATTTTTAACCTTTTTTAAAAATCGATTTTGAATTCAAAATTGATTTACTTTACTGTAAAAAAGGAAATAAATATTATTATGAGTAAAAGAATGAATGTTAAAAATGGAATAACAAATTAAGTTTGCTCATTATTTTAAAAAAACATTGATATAATATATTAAATTAATTGCATAAAAACTAAATAATTTTTCAACGAATTTGTAAATTATCTTGTATTTTATTTTTAAAATGAGGACAATATTGGCAATGCAGTATATTAATGAACACCCAATATAGCAATGCCGTAGACAGGGGGTGGAGAATAGTATTGGCAAAATTTTCTAATAAAATCAATTTTTCACAAATATTGTTGACCCTCCCCTGTCATCCCTATATCTTCAAAAAATGAATAAAATAAGCTATTATAAACAATATTTTTTTAAAATAATTAATTACTATTATTATTAGGATTTTTTAGAAAAAACATAATTTTGAAGCCCTAATATTTAATGATAGTGTAACCCGTGGAAAGACACGATAAAGGTATAATGGTGAAGTCTTAAAAAAATTCACCAATGATAAAAGTTACGATAATGAAAATTGAAGTGTGAGGGTAAATAATAGTAATAATATAATGTATTGTATTCGTATGAATGATGCAAGAAAATAAGTTAATATTTTATAGTATTAAAAAATTAATAGGAAGTAAAAGAATAAAAATAATGGCGATCCAAAATTAAGTTATATTTCCCTTAGAATCTACCATCTATCTCCTTAATATATATGGAGGGATATACCTCTGCCCTCCCCCAATCAATATAATTGCTCATTTTTTAAAAATAAGGTTGTTTTACCAATAATCCTTTGTTCATAGTCACAATTATGCTACCTCTCAAAGGTAGTTTCTTTCTGGTTTGAGTCCTGCAAATGAATTTTTGTCAAAAAGTCCCTTTTGTCCTTAAGAAAAATTTTGTACCTTTTTTGAAAAATGAAACAATAACAAAAGTGTTGTTTTGGAGCATTAGAATACTATAAAAAAAAGTATCTTTACACTTATTTTCTAATTATGTTGTAACTCCTATTTGGCAATTAAGCTCCTGGAGCATGGATAGAAGTTTTCAGGAGAATGTTTTAGATAGAGAAGAGAATAAGAGATTATGTGAAAATAATTGATATTCATAGTTTTACACCAGGGAAAGAAACTATGGATGTGATTTTTGTTGTAGAGGTGAAGAAAGACAGGTTTTTTATTATATACAATTGGAGAAGGTGTTAGACAGGGTCCCTCATTGGGTTAATAAATGCTTTAAGAAAATCAGGTGTAGGGGATTGGTTTAAGATAAGACTAATGATAATAATGTGATAGCTACTTTTAAAATGAGCTTTTATTGCCTTTCAATTTATGTAAATTATCAGATGATGGAAATAAATTTTCTATACATATTTTTATTTTAGCTAAATTTATTATGGACCAAAAAAAAATGAGACTATATAAGAAAATGTTATAAAACCTTATTATGCAAGCTTGTTATTGAAAGAAATGGGCAACCAAATGCCTCAAATAATCAAAAATTAAAAACTTTCCCAGTATTTTTTTAAAAAAGGATCCTGTATGTCAATGATTATAAAATTATGAAGGATAATATATAAAAAAAGAAGAAAAGATATATAATTTTTGAATATTCATTCTCCAAAATTAAAATAAAAAATATTCGATTATTTGCATATGCAGAGCATTCATAAAATGAAAACATTCTAGTAATCTGCAGAGATTCTAGCCCATGGCCAAAAAAATGTTTGTTATATTTCATTTTTGCCTTCATCATAATTATGAAATGAATTTTTAAAAAAATTAAATTAGGAAGTACAAAATATTTCCTATTCATATAATATTTTTTTAATGGATAAAGATCAGCATTAAATAGATAAAGATCATAAAATAGTCATTATTAAATAAATAAATGCAATTCATAAATAAATATTTTGAGCTTGAGAAATATTTCCTAATTTCAATATAAAAAATTTGATCACAGAGGAGAAAGGCACAAAGGCTGAGGTTTAAAAAATTTGCCATAGGGCTTTGGGCTAACTTCACCAAAAAAAATAATTGATTTTGCATGTTTATAATTGATGATAAAATTGCTGTAAACTCTGAAAAGAATTTATGTTTTATTTTTCTAGATTAGATAATTCTATTTAAAGATAAAATATATTCATATTCGTTTGTCAATATAATAGCCATTTCAAAAAAAGACAAAAAGACCCATTCTTGTTTTTAAAAATCCCTTTTACAAGAAATTGAAAGTTGTTATTTCAACAAAACTTTGCAATAATATCTTTTAAAAAATATTACAAGAAATTGAAAGTTTTTATTTCAACAAAATTTTGCAATATTTATATAAATTAACTAAAAAAACATAATTCCTTATAAAAATTTAAATAATAGTATATTTTAAGATATACTTAATTCAATCAATCCTATATTTTATTTTAAGTCATTTAAAATATGCCTTCAGAACCATTAAAATTTTGTATTTATGATTCTATTGTTATATTTGTAAACCAAAGATTTTAAAAATAGATTTTATAATTACTAATTTAAACATGGTTTAATTTTTAAGTTATAATTAAATATCAAGCCTTGATTTTAAAAAATAAGACACCATCAATAAAGTAAAAGCGATTAAATTTGTTGGCTTACTTATTTTGAAATTCAGTAGTTATATATGCAAAGATAATCAGAAAATATTTTACAACATAAATTCAGCCATTTATAAATTGCGAAACGAGATTTGATGTTTAAAGATTTGTAAGAATTTGATTAATAATTAATTTATATTTAAGAGTTTACATATGAGCTAGAGAGTGAAAATCTGCATAAAACATCATGTATTATATAATGGAAGTTAAAATTCATCAATGACTTAGATGACACAATAAATCGATCAAAATTATTTTGAATTTTAGTTAAAGATTGTGTAATCCGTTAAATATTGGGAGTGAAGAATCCATATTTAATGGTAAAATAATTTAAGTAGGTTAAAATGAACCAAAATAATAACCCATATATGATTTATTATTATTGCTCCATTTGCAATGATCTTAATGGTTGATAAAAATGACATGAATTATTAATGCTGCATCGCGTCTACTGTATTTGTACCTATTTTTTTACAAATGGTATCGGCTAAACCTTTGATAATTTGATTATAACTATACATTTCCAATATTTTTTATCATATATATTAGTACATCCTCTTAAAAATATTTAGCCCCTAAGCAGAGTTGTTAAAGGATCAATCAAAAGATCGCCGATCTTGGATTCGATTCTAAATTTGTCATCGTAATCAAGATCATTTTTCCTAACCGATCTTTTAAAAATTATTCTTTCAGTTAAAAAGCAATAAATAAAATAAAAATTGTAAAAATTAAATTAAAATATTATTTTTTAAAAAAATATCTATCTACATCAGTGGTAGCTAGGAATTTTCCTTAGAGGGGGGCCCATACATATAAAAGCCAGGGGGCTCGGCCCTTTTGCCAAACCTTTGGCCGGTTTATATCAAAAATCATATTTGTTTTTCTTATAATATAAAAGTCCTAGAATTATTAATCATTTTAATTAGTGTTGTCATAATTATATTCAACAAACTTTTTATTTAAAATATTATCTTGTTGGGGTTTTTATTAGAATTAAAGTATTTTTTGAACTTTTCTGGGAAAATCCTCGATAATATATAATAATACATCAATAATTTGTTATTATAATTTAGTAGATTATTCTCAATGACCTTATAATAACACTATCCAGAACAATAATCTACTAAATTTTATCTAGAACGAGATTTAAAGCCTTCAAGTTTTATTTATCTAATTATATTATATAAATAAATTCTAGGTCTTAATAATGTCCTCCATTATGGATTTAGTAGAAGATAATATATCTACTATTGATGCGGAAGCAGATATAAATGAGAATGAGAATCTTTTACCATTTTATAATTTACTACTTTATGTGAAACGGACAGCGTCTACATGAGCGAATGGGGTAGGAACAGTTTGCATCAGCGTCTACATAAGCGGGAGGGGTAGGAACAGTTTGCATCCTATTTTTTGAGAGGGTAGGGGGTAAACTGCTTTAATTGGGGTAGGATAAATTTTTTTTTTTTGGGGGGGGGGGTTATCTATTAAATTTTGAGATGAAATAAGACAAAATTTATTGCTGTAAAAATTAATACTTTTATTATAGTATTATTATAATACAATTCATCGACCAAATCTATATATTGTAAACAATCATACACATTGTTTTCCAAATAAACTATCCTTTTAAATGTAACCAAGGTTTAGATATTCCAACAAGATCATATGCTATAATAATTAATTCATTGTAAATAATGTAGGTTTTATTTGAATTTAATATCTAAAAAATAAATTCTTTATATTCACAAAATATCGATAGTTGATAGTAGAGATAGATTAATTTAAGTTATTCTTTATAAATTATTTTAAAAGAGTATCAATAAATAAATAGGTGAAAATAATAATAAAAAGACACCGCCGCTGAAGGCGGCGGGAATTTTTTAGGTGGGTAGGCAAAGGTTTTTGAAGGGGATTCGCACCCAGTAAAAATCCTATCATGTAGATGCTGGAAACAGATGGAAGTAACTAAACAATGATCAGTGCAAAATGCTATTTATTTAAGAACAAAATATCTTCTTCAGGATTAGTAGTTCAAACCTCATAGTCCACATATAATATTTAACATAATCAATATTTATGATATGACCATAAATATCATACAGATGATGGGCGTTTTATCAATTTATCCAACATAATAAATTCTGATATGAGTTAGCATCGTGGGTGCCATGGCTATGACTGCAAATTAACCAGCATCTATTATTTGCGTGACTATGTAATTTAAGATTATTACTATAGCTTAGATAAGCATATATCATTACAAATGGAAGATAATCTTTTAGAAATATAATATCTCACAATAACTTCTCGACAGGGTTGGGCAGTATCGCGGATATTTGTATCTTTTATTAAATTTTGGAAAGTATCTTGTATCCAGTATCTAAGATACATATTATTTAAAAGTATTTGTATCTTAACCAACTTTGTATTCAAAAAGATACAGATACTTTAAAAAAAATTTATATTAGTTAATTTAAATAGTATTAAAATTTAAAAAGATATTGTTTTAAAATTTAAATGAAGTTAGATATTTTAAGGTAATGTATGATATACGACGTTGGTCGTCATATAGAAATTTGCTAACAATTAGAACTACCGTATTTTATTTGAATCGTTTTATATCCGTCTATTAAAGAAAATAGAATAATATGTTTATCTTCGTCTTCAGATGATTCTCCAACCAAAAAATATAACTATAAATTTAAATTAAGTATTTTAAATGGGAAATTTTTTCAAGTACTTCAACATGATCATAATAAAATTACTACAGAATCTAAAGAATGCCACAAATCTATAAGTGGTTCTGCGGACTCGTCATCAAATTTTGTCAAGCATCTAAAAGTATAATATATAATTATATATAATAAATCACATTTATAATCATATTCATTATCATTTCATATTCCATATCTGTTGTTAAATTTAGAAGTATTTTAAAATAAATTTTTATATTATTGATTGATAATGAAATTAAAATGATATATAAAGAAAAGAATAAGAAAACTAATATTGATAAAAAAGAGGTTGTTAATTTGAATACTAGGCCAAAATATAATCCAAATTTTTGGGGCACCATTTTTATATGATAGATAATACTTAGCAATATTTCATCCACCTTTCATATGTATTTTTTTTAATTTTTACATATATGCTTAAAATATAATTTTCTTTGTAAAATTAATTAAAAGAAATATTTATTATATATAACACAATATTACCCTCCTCTGCCCCCGTTGAACGATTATTTAGCTTTGCTAATATGGTTAACAAACCAAATCGTCAAACATTGAACGATAAATTATTTGAATTAATAATATTAAAAACAATGCTGATTTATGATGCTGATATATTAATATTATATAATTATTAAAATAAATATCGCATTATCTTATACAATAAATTTGTTATTTTCTACAATTTATTTTCAAATTTTTTATAAATTTATATTATAGATAAGAAAATAAAGCTTTATACATTTTGATTTTGACTATTTAAAGTTTTTTTAAAAAAAGTATCTTGTATCTTAGATACTTTTTTTAAAAAAAGATACGAGTATCTTATATCTTATTGAAAATTTTCCAAAGTATCTAGTATCTTGCATCTTAAATACAAAATTTTATAAAGTATCTGTATCCGAATACAATTTTCTGAAAATTTGCCCAACCCTGCTTCTCGACTACTTATTTAGCTTCCATCATGTCATCTAAGAAGAAGCTCTAACATGAATATAGTTTAATGAATTGGATAGGTCGTTTATATTCTCTTCTTCAAGAATTGTTAATTTGGTTGGGCCAATAAATTTTTGCTTATTGGTCCATTCTATAAAACATTGTGTAAAATGGAAACAGAGAGTTATATTAGTTTCATGACATTTTGTCAATGTAAGTTTCTAAGAATTATATTGCCTTTTGTGCCTTTTTAAAAACCATTATCAATTGAGGCATAAGTATGAATTAATTATCCTTTTTTATTACTTGTAATTCTTTAGACGCTTAATTTTTTTACATCAGCGAAAATATTTTATACTGTAATGAAATATGATAAATGATAAAATATGAAATTCAGAATAAGTGTTCCAAGTTAGCAAATCTTAAAAATGTATTATATATAAATATACAACCCTGTCGACGCCCCCCATAAGATTTTTTTTTATTTGAACCCCCTGAGATTGTAAAGGCTAGCGACGCCCCTGACATTAAAACGAAATGGACATATTAAATATTTTATTAGTATATTGGACTGTGTATTATAAATTTGAGAATAAATGTAAGAAAAAGTGATAAAATATTTCAATAGTTTTAAAGGGTTAAATAGATTATTTTAGGTTGAAGTAGATTAGATGTGATTATTTGAGATCTTAAGACCAAGTGAGAATAAAGAGACAATAAGACAGTGTCGATATATCGACAGATGCAAACTGTCGTAGAAGACCCCGAAGTCTAAAAGATCTCTAATTAGATGAAATTTAATGTTATTGGTCTAACCACCATCTTTCAATCGTTTTAGTTGTTATTGATATTTCTATCTTCAATATCAACAAAGATTTTACCTTATAATATATATATCTACATTTTGTTGAATATATTTTGATTTGATAAGAATTTTAAATCTTCTTTGTAAATAATTCATTTTTGAGGAATTCTTTTGAGAATTTATTATAAACAAAAAATCTTTTAGGCAAAATCTTTTATAGTTTTTTTTTATCATCTTTGTAAAATTATCTATTTTTTAAGTATAATAAAAGATGTGGTTTTTTCTAAATAATTTAAAAAAATATATTTATATCTTTTTTACAGTGTTGTGCTAATTTAGTGAAACATATTGACGATTAAATTAAAATCCTTCTATATGAAATTATAATGTTTGCACAAATAATTAAAATATAGAAAAAGCATTATTGAAATTTTTTTTATTTATTCCTTTTGTTATTTATTTAACATCTTTACAATATAAATATTATTTTTACCCTTTTGTGTCAAAAAATTTCAAAAATGTTTAAAAATAACGAATATGACAATTGTCACATTAAAAATTTTGGTTAAAAAGATATATAATATAACATACAGTGTTGTGAT